TATCATCATAAATAAACTGTTTCTTCCATGCAAATAATAAATTGTAATGCTATGGATTACGGTACTTCTCATATGGCAATATTTTTTCTCAAAAAGCAATTCATCAAAGGATTCGTCGGTATTACCTTTTGAAAGTGACCAGATTATCTGCACTGGTAAATACTTCCTTGGAATGTCACTTTTGAATTTTGAATGATACATTGGGGTTAAATACTTTTACTGCCTAATAGAAAGGTTTATCAATAGGGAGGGAGAGAGAGAGAGAGAGAGACATGAGTCAAATTCAGATTTGAGATGTTGTTGATATCCAGTTAAGGAAAGTACAATTAATTGGGAATTGCATGACCTGAATCTGCTTGTCAGTTACTTTCCATTCCTCATTTAAAAATGTTTACACTTAAAGTAAAGGTCAAACACAAAGTTATCGATTTTTCGATAAAGGGACCGAATAATAGAAAGTTCACCAAATCGTAATCGTTTTTAAGTTCTTATATATATGTCTTCAAACATTTTCATTTTGATTTCTTTACTGTTTCCAAACTTATTTTGCATTTATTAATGAAACGCAATTAGATCAAAGCTCAGAAACCAGTTAATTTGAATGACAAACGATTACGCAAACATACTTCTTTAGGAGATGAAAATCGGGCTGTCTTTGGTGAGGAATTCATGGTTTCGTCTTGTTGCTAAATTAAGATATACTATTCTTCTTCCGGAAAAGATAGTTTCTTTCATTTTATCCAATTGAAGGATAAAATTGGCATTTTCATGACTGTAGGATATTTATTAATCTCTCCCTCTCTGATCCGTCTGCATTTTTAGTTTTCTCATTTCATATTTCAAATTTCTCATTTCTGATATTTTTAATTCCTTCGTTCTGTCCATCATGGCCTAATAAATACATATTAATTGGTTAATAAATACATATTTATCTTTCATGAATGCACAAAGTGTCGCATGCATTTCTAATTTAGCAACTCGTTAAAAAAAAGCAGTCAATCATTCGTCCTTTTTGTTCTTTCTCTCTTC